CTGGCACTCGCTGGAGCACATCGACTTGACGAGGTTGTTATCCTAGTCCGGGCCAACATTCGAGTCTCGTGTTCCGCGATTCCTCCTCGGCGGTTGTCGCTGCTCGATTCTATACGTCCAGTGCATACGCAAGGACGAGCTGTAGCGTACGCAAGGACGAGCTGTAGCGTACGCAAGGACGAGCTGTAGCGTACGCAAGGACGAGCTGTAGCGTACGCAAGGACGAGCTGTAGCGTAATCAAGAGTCCACCCGGCTCTTCGGTGCACTCTCGAAAAGCGCGTCGTTGTATTCGGGTGAACTCGTGCCAACAATACTGATGACTACGTCGACACCCTCGAAGGCCCGAGCGAATGACGTCACAGCGTCCGCCGGGTCGATCTGCCGGAGCTCTGAGCCCTGCTCGGCAAGCGCTAAGTCGCGGCACTCACCATTGTCGCCCTTGCTCAGGCAATCAATACCAAGAGCCGAATTGCCTTCTCTCACCTGTTGACCCTTGACTTCCGCAAGGGTCTCGATGGGTGAGACCGCTATTTTCCGCAAGAGCGAGAGGGACCGCGTCAAGCGCCGATGTGAATGCGCGCATAGCATATTGCTGAAAAGACCGGATCTGGGAAATATGAATGACGTTAGTCGCTCACGGTGGTACAAATAAACGACAGCAAGCGCACCTCATCTGCAGCCTTTGCAACTGCCAGTGAACAGCTTATATCGGCCGCGCCCCCACCATAGGCAATCCGATTGTCGATAACCATGTTCCTCACCGCGCAGAGCGCATCATGATCATGCAGGGTGCGCTTAGCCTTGTCGACGATCTGACCACAGTTCACTTACGTAAACAATTTCATTGTACAAGTCTGTAACGTACCATCTTGTTGCTGCCCCTCACGAAGATCGTACTGTTCGTGGGTTTGCACACTTCTCGATGACAAGCATCTATCTAGTCACGCGCTGTGCCAAAGGAAACTTCGCGAACGATGCCTGCATGGCCGAGCTTCTCCGAAGTGAGATCCTCGAATCTCGGCACGAAACGTCCATTGGTGGCAATAGCAATGATCTACATATACGTGTCAGATGAATCACACAACAAAACCCACGCAGATTTACCTCAATCTCCGAGCCTCCTCCATCACATTACGGCCAGATCGTTTTACATGAGTAGATGATTCACCTCGTCATCAAAGCCCCATTGACAAATCACCAAATTCGCGCCGGTGTCCTTGATGAGCTTGATCATGTCGTGGAACTGGCTCTGCTCGTACTCTCGTATACGCAGGTACTGCTCGACAAAGGTGATGCCGAGCTTGTGTTTCGTCTTTGATCGTGGCGGCTCAAACGGGCATTTGAGGATGGCGATTTCGCGTCTGTGATGGTGAGCGGCATCTGTGGATATGACATGCCTTGTCGACAAGCACGCCCTTAATCAGCGTCGTGTAGGCTAGCGACCCGCCGACCTTGCCGTCGACCCTGATGAGATCGAAGGGTACGTCTTTGCGGTCGAAGTCGGCAACGGACAAGAAAGCGTCTACTCGGCAAACTTCTCATTCTCCTTCGAGACGCTGCGTATGACGTCAGTCGAACAATCCTTGTAGACTCTGGAGACTAGACGAACATTTTGCTGCTCATTGCGCGGTCCTGTTGTAAAATTGATCCTGGTGCTCAATTGTAACAGTACAAACCCGTCCACAGTTCAGATGGCATGGATTCCCCGGTCCAGCGACCCTTCACTCTGCTCAAGCAGCGCGCCAGCAAGGACTACACTAGCATCAACAGATCTTCCTCGAGAGTATGAATACCACACTCACCGACTACACCGGTCGTGCCATCCCTGATTTCATCATCCTGACTCTTCGACAGCGCACCAAAAGCTTCGCGATTTGGTGCTCAACCTTCAATTGACTCGATGTTGTTGCGCCATCGTTGGTCACTGTGATATCGCCATCGGGGGAAATGCCCATTTTGTCGAGGCCACGCACGAACACATTCGGTATGCAAGTACCAGCTATTGAAACCGCACTCATCTCGGGGGCCCAGAGATGTTCGAATAACGTTAGCAACTGTACGTGCAGCCAGGATATGTGACTACACCCGTTCTCTCATGAGCATCGTGAATATATTTCCAAGGCTCAAAAGCTCATACCTTGATCGCTTCCAGGCCATGGCTACGAGTCTTTTTGGCTTGTTCTCGGAGAATGATGAATGAACGAGCTGCACGACCTTTTCTAGGTCATCTTTGTGTTGCTCGCGCAGCGCGAGCATACGTGCATCATTGCTCCCACCAAATAGCTTCTCTGTCTCCTCGTAGCGCGCCAGCAACTCCACGATCGTGTGACCTGATGCACCATCTAGCCATTCGACTTCCACTCCACGACATCAAACAGCACACCGAGCTGAGTCCAGAACATTGGCCGGTCCTGCGCACGGAATGTTGGCCTCCATGGAATGCTCCATCAGCTTCTTGATGCTCACCGCCGGAAACTCTGTCGTGTCACCTTAATCTTGTGCAGTCTCGATTGCAGCACGAATAATGTGTGACTAATCAATACGTGGAAACAACCCAAAATGAAGATGTGCACACCTATACCGGGGCTACAGAACGAATGAACCATAAGCCCGAGACCTTTCCCATTTACAAAGTCACCAAAGCCGAAGGCTGCACCCGCATTGTACGATGCTACTAGCGTACGCAGGATCGCCTTGTGCTGGTCCGGAATGACCAGCCTCCGGAATGACCAGCCGCGAGAGCAACTCGTGATTCCGCTCAACATGATCGATCGCAAATTCCACTATCAAAGATGGTCGCAATGTGAATGAACAGCTCGGTACTTCGATAGTAGCCACACATACGCCAAGATTTGTCAGAAAAGCTGAACCCGTAGATGACGGGCGTAGTGAGCAACAGCTCCTCTTGCGGCAGATTCGTTCACGTTCACTTCCGCGGTCCATTGCTGAGTGCCTGAAGCCGCGATATTAGCGTTGAGGGCATGTCTGTCGATGTTACTTCCAGACAATATTTGTCTTCAAGAGCTTCGGCAGTTTCGGGTGATTCGGCATGCCTTCTGCAAAGGTGCGAAAGACATGAATTCGAAGGGCGATCATCCAGTGGGGTTATGACTTGCCTAAAGGGCAACAGTGAAAATTTTCTAGATTACCACGGTCATGATTGCGTTGGTCTTGTTGCAAGTACTGCAATGACTGTTCCCGTCGCATCATCTTCTCATCTGGCGCAATTGCCCGCCCCGAAGTCTGCCCATGCGAACGATGTGATGGCACGAAGAAGCGTAAGGAGAAGTAGGTGCAGCCTTCCCGCAGTTCCTCGACAAGGGGTGAACAAGTATAAGAGGCATGTGTTGGCGCACACATTCCTCACACGGGCAAGATTAACGCGTTTATGATCACTAAGGTTGCACAGTCGTTCACGCACGAAGAATCTCCTACATCCTGGTGGTATCAGATGGTCATGCTGCTGCATCGCGACGCAGGCCCACCGGCGCGACCCACAATACATGTCGGCAAAGCTCCTTGTCAACGTCGCTGCGGTCTCCTCATTGGCTTCCCATTCTGCAAGGCAAAGGACAACATTCAGGGAATACAGAACAAGCTATTCGTATGTGCCACGCTCCGCTCATCTGCGCAGAGCTGCGGCTAATCCCATTCCAGCCGATGTTCATGTCTACGATCATCAGTTCCGCGCTCGGGAATCAGCTACAAGTGGCATTTTTGGACATGCGCACCATGTGCGAGGTTCGCGAGCGGCACAGCCGCATGTACAGTTGTGCTCACGTCGCAGATATTGATTAAGATCCCATGGAACACCATCGGCTCGAGCCCGTCGCCATCACTGCTCTTCCAGTGCCTTCTGTCCGGCCTAGTCAAAATGATTACATGCAAAGGAGAAGGCCATCGCAGGACATGTATCGTCAGGGTGATGCGTACGCCGTCGGCGGATACCACCACACGATGCTCGGAAGACCGTCGGCATCCGAGCGAGTCGAGCGAATCAAATGCGCATAGCGCTACTGCTGGTATGGGAATGATCATCCCAAACAAGACCACCGTAACGAACTGCGATATCGAGGTGCTGTACGGCTGCGAAAGTACCGCGATAGACGACCGCGCTTGCTAGCAACAACAGCGACGACGATGACGATAGCGCCGCTTCCTCAGTGGATTCAGCGCGTGCCTGCAGGCGGTTGAAGGTGTGGAGGACGCGCGGAGCGGGAATGACTACGTCGACAAGTTGTCCTTCGGGCGCGCGTCGCTTGCATCCGACCGGTCCGCGTGGGGATTGAAAGGGCGGACGAGCCTGGCCGGGGAGGACAGCAGTGCATCCGGCGGGACTACGAGTGTAAGGTTGCGATGATGCAGAAGTGCATCACGATGCTTGAGCAAGATCTCGAGGATGTGCAGCAACTTGAAAAGCGAT